TATAAAGAAAATTATGAAACCCTAAAAAAGGAAATAGCAGAGGATATTAACAAATGGAAGAACATACCATGCTCATGGCTGAAAAGAATCAACATTGTTAAAATGTCTATACTTCCCAAAGCAATCTACCAATTCAATGCCATCCCTATTAAAATAGCAATATTGTACTTTCAAGACTTGGAAAAAATGATTCTTGGTTTTGTACAGAACCAGAAAAAAAACCCATATAGCTAAGGCAGTTCTTAGTAATAAGAACAAAGCTGGGGGCATCAGCATACCAGATTTTTGGCTATACTACAAGGACATAGTGGTCAAGAATACATAGTACTAACACAAAAATAGAGACATAGACATTTGGAATCAAATAGAAAACCAGGAAATGAAACTAACATCTTACAACTACCGGATCTTCAACCAACCAAACAAGAACATACATTAGGGAAAAGAATCCATATTTGGCTCGGCACTTGTGGCTCAAGTGGCTAAGGCACCAGCCATGTACACCCAAGGTGGTGGGTTCAAATCCAGCCCGGGCCCATCAGACAACAATGATGGCTGCAACCAAAAAATAGCCAGGCGTTGTGGTGGGCGCCTGTGGTCCCAGCTACTTGGGAGGCTGAGGCAGGACACTCGCTTGAGCCCAGGAGTTGGAGGTTGCTGTGAGCTGTGATGCCTCGGCACTCTACCCAGGAGGACAGCTTGAGGCTCTGTCTCAAAAAAAAAAAAAGAAAAGAAAGAAAGAAAGAAAAGAATCCATATTCAATAAATGGTGCTGGGAGAACTGGATATCCACATGTGAAAGACTGAAACTGGACCCTCATCTTTCTCCACTCACAAAAATTGATTCAAGTTGGATAAAGGACTTAAATTTAAGGCATGAAATGATAAAAATCCTCAAAGAAAGCATGGGAAAAACACTGAAATACATTGCCTGGAGAAAGATTTTTTGAAGACTTCCATGGTAATTACAACAACATCAAAAATAAACAAATGGGACTCAATTAAACTGAAAAGCTTCTGTACAGCTAAGGAGACAATAACCAAAGCAAAAAGACAACCTACACACTGGGAAAGGATATTTGCATGTTATGAATCAGTCAAAAGCTTGAAGACTAGTATCTACAGAGAACTCAAATTAAACCACATGAAAAATGTCATATATATATTTATCCCATATATCAATGGGAAAGAGACATGAATAGATGAATGGCTAGCAAACATATGAAAAAATGCTTATTGTCCCTAATTATTAGAGAAATGCACATGAAAACCACCTTGAGATACAATTTAACCCCAATGAGAATGGCCCACATCACAAAATCCCAAAACCACAGATGCTGGCATGGATGTGGAGAGAAAGGAACACTTTTACACTGCTGGTGGGACTGAAAACTAATACAACATTTTTGGAAGGAAGTATGGAGAACCCTCAAAGAACTCAAGCTAGACCTCCCATTTGATCCAGCAATCCCATTACTGGGCATCTACCCAGACAGAAAAAAATCATTTTATCATAAGAACATTTGCATTAGACTGTTTATTGCAGCTCAATTTACAATTGCCAAAATGTGCAAACAGCCTAAATGCCCACCAACCCAGAAACAGATTAACAAACTGTGGTATATGTATACCATGGAATACTATTCAACCATTAAAAAATGGAGACTTTACATCCTTTATATTAACCTAGATGGATGTGGAACACGTTATTATTAGTAAAGCATCACAAAAATGGAGAAGCATGAATCCTATGTATTCAATTTTGATATGACAACAATTAATGACCTAGTACATGGTGGTGGGCAGGGGAAGGGGAGAGCAGAGGGATGGAAGGAGGGAGGGGGTGGGGTCTTAGTGTGTGACACACCTCTTGGGGGCAAGACACAATAGTAACAGGGACTTTACCTAACAAATGCGATCAGTATAACCTGGTTTCTTGTGCCCTCAATGAATCCCCAACAATAATAAAAAAAAAAATGTATTAGTGGCAAAAAATATATATATAAATAAAGAACTCTAAATAAATGTGCACAAACATCAGGAACTCCCAAATGCACAAAACTAGTACTACTAGACTTAAGGGATGAAATATAAGGCAACATCATAATAGCTATGAAATTCATCATTCGACTCTCAAAATAAGCATATCATCAAGGCACAATACCTATGGAGAAACATTGGCTTTGAATAAGACTTTACAACAAATAAATCTAACAGACATTCACAGAATATTCAACCCCAAAACTACAGAGTATACATTCTTATCTTCAGCACAGGGAACATTTTCTTAGATCATGTGTCAGATAACAAAACACATCTCAGAAAATTAAACAGAAATTAAAATCATACCAGGTATCTTCTCAGATTACAGTGGAATAAAACTAGAAATACCTACCAAGAGGAACTCACAAAACTACAACACATGGAAATTAAGCAACCTTCTGCTAAACAACCCTTTGGTCAATGAGGAAATGAAATGGAAATCAAAAGTTTTTTCAAATTTAATGACAAAACCATACATGCTACCAACATCTCTGATACAATAATAGCAATACTAAAAGGAAAGTGCATACCACTAAGCAGCTACATGAGAAAAGACACCTTCTCACCAACACTTTTTATTATCTTACTTTTTAATTCTAACCATCCATGTGAGTGCAAATTAGTAACTCATTGAGGTTTTATTTGCATTTCTCTAGTAAATCTCACAAAATTTTTGAATATATCAGCTTTTACTGAAAGAGACAAAGACAGTGAAAAGTGAAATGTCTACAACCCTTAGCCTACAATAGTCATGCGATAGGCCAAGAAAACTACTCAGCTATAACATGGGAAATATTTTTCTGGAAGAGGAAGGATGATCCATAGCATGGAAACAAAAGGTCCAGAGGTAGAGCCATGAGACACAGAGACAACTTAACATGGAGTAGGTCCCGGCCCTATTGAAGAAAATAACAATTTGTATACCATTGAATTTTGGAAATCTTATGAGTCAGTGATGGATATGTGGCTACTATATTCACCCTTTATAAACCAAAGTATTTACTGAAGTGTATACATTTTAAAATTATTATTATTAATAAACTAATATTAAGATTTGTGTTTATTAATTCCTATATCTGAAACCTTAATGGTTCATTTTCTGTTTTTTGCTATTTCAACTTTCCCCCATGTTTGGTATCTTATTCCTTTCTGACAGTCATTATTTTTCACTGTATGCTTTGAGGCTTGGCCCTGTGATACCACCTGTCCTTAACCATCATATCCAAGTACAAGGCTTGAAGTCTGTATCTTTACAGGGCTCCTCATCTCTGCCAGGCATGGTTATATAAGGTTACACTTTATCCCGTGGAAATATGTAAGAGGCATTAATCAGACTTCTCATCTAATCAAGCCCCAGGCTTTCATTTGTGCCCTTTTCAACCCCAAAAGAACATTAAATGTACAGCACATATTGGGAACACTTTCTTCTCACTTGTCAAATTCTCCTTAGCAAAAGCACTTTTGAGTGTTAGGTTCTCACACTTTCTGGTGAAGCTATTCCTCCCTATTCTAAAGACTCTAAAGTGACATTATAGATATATCTAACACTTTATCATTTATTTTCACTGTTGTCACCATGGGATTGATTAAAATGACCAACCCTACTATTGTTGGAACAGAAATGTAAATTATATGCTTGTGAATGGAAGACTAGACTCATACAATTGTTCCCAGGTATCACCACATTTAGAATAAACTGTCTTCCCTCCTGTAACTGTTACTCAGGTTTTATGTTTCCAGCAAGACCTGCAGTGACCACTGTCTGCTCCTGGCATATCAACATTTCATGCACTGTTCTATTTTTTCTTTCTTCATAGCCACATCCACTTCTAAAGTCTGTATCACTTGCTTGTTATTTTTAGAGTCTGAAACCTATGCTGGAAGATAAGTTCCATGAAGCCAGACATCTCTGGCTGTTTGTCACTTATATCCCCCATAGCCTAGGACAGTTCTTAGAATATGAGTCACTCAATTTGATTTTTGGACATATGAAAGAACAAATAAATGAATTAAATGATTCATTTCCTACAGTTCTGTCAGCAAAAGTGAAGAATTAGTATCTGAAACACTAGGGAAAGGAAAGGAAAGGGTAATAAATGAGTTATTTCTCACCATGTGGAGGTTGAATAAATATCTACAGCTAGTCAAAATTTTAGGGGAGAGACAGTCAAGTCCCCTAGAGCTGCCTGAGTAGGATGTGTAAGTGTGACAATGAACAAGTCACTGCAAATGTTTTTCCTCCACAGTCTCAATTGCACTCCTGCAATTGGATCATACTCCTGGAAATTATTGCTTGTATGTTTCAAACTCAGTCTCTGAGGAGTTTGGGAATTCTGCTCATTCCAGCAAAATAAATCAGTTACTTTGACTTGGCAGAGAAATTCACAGGACAGTCAGAAGCAACTCATCCTGTTATCCTCTAGGGACTCCTATAACTATGCCAGAACCAGAGGCCAGGAATACAGAGCAGAATTGTATCTTTCTACAAAGGTCATTCCCAGTAAATCTCCAGCAATTTTACTATTTGGTTCCACTTTACCATTCTCTTTCAGAATGTACTCAGCCATAACTGTAGTTATCAGGCTTAACCTAGGATAAACTGATCTTGAAAATGGGCACAGTCTAAGGGGGTTAGAGATATAATAACCTTTACCTATAGTATAAAACTAATTTCAGAAGAATATGAAAATATTTGAAATAATTTTAAGCAGATTAAGTACATTTCATGTGAAACAATGTGTTCCTAATTATAATTTAAAAGATAACTCACTATAGGCCACTGATACACTGTTTGATTTGAAAATATATCCCCTATATTCACTAAAAACCTCTACACTATTAATGATGCATAACCATGTATGTTTTGACCACAGACTGAAGTTTCCTTTTACTGTTTTATTAATATTAATGGGATATTATTATAGAAAATAATATATTCTACAAAATAAAAAGTATAACTAAGATAATATTTTTCTACCAAGCTCTCTCTTCAGCGCCCCTTTAATCTCCTTATTTCTCAGACTGTAGATTATTGGGTTCAACATGGGGATCACCACCATGTAGAACACAGACACCACCTTGTTCTGGTCAGTTGAGTAGCTGGACTTGGGCATCACATAAATAAAGGTAATGGTCCCATAGAACAGAGTGACTGCAGTGAGGTGGGAAGTGCAGGTGGAGAAGGCCTTGTGTCGCCCCTCCCTGGAGCGCATCTTCAGGATGGTGGTGAGGATGCAGATGTAGGAGACAGCTATGACAAACACAGTGACCACAATTATGGAACCAGCAGAAAATGAGGGAACAGCTGCAGGGACACTGGTATCAAAACAGGAGAGTTCAATTAAAGGAGTAAAATCACAGAAAAAATGATTGACTTGATTTAGTCCACAGAAGGATAAAGAGAAGAAGGAAAAGGTAAAGGCGGAAGCATTAAGAAAACCACCTATATAGGTCACAACAAATAACTGGACACAGACTTGTATGGACATTTTGGTTGGATAAAGGAGAGGACTGCAGATTGCCACAAAGCGATCATATGCCATGGCAGCCAGAAGGAAGCATTCAGCTGTCCCAAAGAAAACTGCTGAACCAAGCTGAATGGTGCATCCTAGGTAGGAAATTGTATTTCTCTCCACCAAAAAGTTTACAAGCATGTTGGGGGTGACAGAAGATGAATAGCCTATGTCAGCAGAAGCCAAGTGAGCCAGAAAAAAATACATAGGGTGATGGAGCTGAGAGGAGAATCTGATTAGAATGATTGTGCTGAGGTTGCCAGATATGGTCACCAGGTAGATGCATAGGATCATCATGAAGAGGATGACTCGAAGGACAGGATCATCTGTTAAGCCCAGTAAAATAAAGCCTGTGACAGCAGTGTGGTTCCCATCCACCAGGGACTCCATGAGACAATATATCTGCTGCCAGAATGAACCTATGATGAGAATAGCGTAGTTATAATTTTGTGTTATATTATTTTGTGTTATATTTTGTTTATAATAGTGTGTTATAATTTTATTGGCTTCATTTTCATTAATACATATGGCAAGTCATTATAAAGATATTTAAACACTAATACCTTTCTATATGAAATGACGACTCTCTGTCTTAAAAATTTATTTTTATCACAAACACTAGACAAATTTCCTTTAAATAGTATCTTTTACTTGTTATACTTTCTTTCAAAAATGCAGTTAAAATGGCTTTAAATTTGAAGAATAAAAAATACAGACAGATACAAAAAACAAAAAATATTGGTGAGCATATTGAAACAAAGAAAAATATACAGAGTTTTTAAATGAAGGATTGAATAATAGCTAATATTATTTACATGTTTGCTAAATTCTAAGCACAGAGCTAAGAAAAAGTTGTATACATATTCTGGTTCATTTTCCATAAAATAATATTAGTTTCATTATTATTTTATCAATGCATAGAAAGAGGTTATATGGTTACAAAGCAGGTGGTGGAATCAGAATATGAACCCCAGGAATTCTGATTGCTCATTTCTTTAGTAACTACCCAATAACAAAATTAAATAATACCATTAAGTCCAACATGCCTGGCAATGAGTGGATGATAGTTTATCCTTTATGCTTTCTGGCTTCTAATTGTAAAGGATGCACTTGGTTAGTCACATAGTTCAAAATACATATTAGTTTCAGAGAATCATTTTTTAAGAAGAAGAAATAATGTTGTTTTTGATCCTATTACCAGAAAGGGATTTCAAATTAGGATTATGAATGAGGTCACTTATCAAAAATTTATTGGGTATTTTAAAAATATTTATAATTAAATATATTATTTTATTTTCCCAGTAGTTTGAAATGTCAATGTAATAACTATACAAAATTCTTAATTAATATTGAGTACATAATTCAAATACATTTATTTGAGGCAGGCATGGTTTCTCACACTTATAATCCTAGCACTCTGGGTGGCTGAGGTGGGTCGATCACTTGAGCTCAGGAGTTCAAGGTCAGCCTGAGCCAGAGTGAGACCCTATCTTTAAAAATAGGGGGTGTTGTGGCAGGCACATGTTTTCCCAGCTTCTTGGGAGGCTGAGGTCAAAGGATTGCTTGATGCCAAGAGTTTGAAGTTGCTGTGAGCTATGACACCATGGCATTCTAACAAAGGTGACAAAGTAAGACTCTATCTCAAACAAACAAACAAAACCCATTTATTTGAATAAATCAAATAGGTTCCTGTCATGACAAATGTTTTCTAATTGGGACATTGTAGAATAAAATAATATTATTTTCAATATACTACATAGATGAATAAAGTATAGCTTAAAAATCAAAGAAGGTTTATCCAGTGACAAGGATGATGCTCATTTTATTTTCTCACTTTATGTCTTAAGCTCTGTCTATCATGTTATTGCTTTTCAGCCAGAAACATTTGGGTTCATAAACAAAGTAAGCTTTTATGCAAATATTTACATCATTTTTACATTTTTAATTCTTTGGTTAAAATACTTTGTATTATCCATAAGTACCCATAGCATCTCAAACCTAGTGAATTTACTAGCATTATGGCAGAATGCCCAGATTGAATAGTGTTGAGTGACTATCTGATTTTATGTCTTATGGGAAGATAAACAAGAAATCTTGGTAACTGGAATTATGCCTATTCATTCACATGAAACTGATGGTGGAAACAGCAATTCAGCCAAATTTGCTCACTAGCTGATTACTACACTACATTTATCTTGTTTCTGCATTCTAGCTTGTGAGTACAGATATAACGTGTTTTCAAAGTGTAAATGAAAGTCAATATATCAGCTTCATAAACCAATGCCAACATCTTACCTCTTGTAATGAGAACTCATTCATCTTTTAGTAATGAGTCAAAGTCATAGTGGTTATATAACTACCTTTCACTTTTGTTTTCCTTTGAGGAAAAATCTCTTAAGACTCTAGAGATTTAAATGCAAATTCAAAAGCATCATAGAACATCATTATTTGTATGAACAGTCCAATTCACACACAAAACAACAAATTTTTCCAGATTCTGTCAATTCTCAAGTGGTCAATTTATTCCTCTGTTTTGATATATGTGTTCATGCCTTGTTCTGTAACCTTTAATAATTATTAGAAAACATAATATAATAAACTCTTGTAAATAAATATAGGCTCTAAATATTACTAAAATATTTTTAATCAAGAAATATTCAGAATTAAATTTCAGGTATAAAACACTAACCTTAGTTTTATTTATTCAATGTTTTTTATTGATAAATATTTTGTAATAATATTTACAAGACTTATGTACCTTGAGATATGAGGTTTAGCTTGAGGTACAGTTAAATTTTAAATAACAAAAAAATTAAAGACATATACATTAACTATCAAAACAAAAGAAAATTAATGCCTTGAAAGTTGTAAAAAGTTCAAATTAAAAGGTTTGGATGATCTCCAGATATGAAATACTCTGTCCCTGAAGATACCTCAAAGTGCTGCCTCTTGAGTAGTGCCACATACTACAGGGGGGTGATGATGGAATGCAGGTATTTTCTTTTTTTTTTTTATTATTTCTTATAGTATAACTGTGTACATTAATGCAATCATGGGGTACAGTGTGCTGTTTTCATATACAATTTGAAATACTCTCATCAATTGGAATACAGGTATTTTCAATCCAAAGACTATTTTACCCTTTTTTCTCTTGCTTGTCCTAATTTTAATATCTCCTACTTCAACCCATGAAGCCCCTTTTCTGAGGAAGTGGGTTCACTCAGAGCTCACTTTATGCCAAGGACTATGCTTACCAGTTTATACACGTTTAATCCTCACAACAATTTTATGTGGTAGATAATTTTATTATTCTCATTTTCAGATGGGAGAACTGAGATTGAGGAGCTCAAGCAACATGTGCTGGGTGATTCCAATCTACATTGTCAGTTTTCTGCTTCCAGTGCTAACTGCTAAATACCCTGTCCACTTCAGTGCCACCCTCCTTCTCTGGAGCCTCAGATCAGGAAGCCCTTGGCACCCTAATCAGTTTGCACCTGAGTGCATCCCAGATATGGAAACAGGTAAGGTCCCTACCCACATATATTCTTCTCCATATTTGAGATGGACAATCTGGAAGGTGATCTCTGGGTTTCTTACTTGCCTGAGGGGAATCAAGACACTGTTGCTACACCAGTGACCTTGATCATACAACTAGGAAGTAAGAAATACAGGGCAGATTGGGAATTTCTTTTTGCAGGAATGCATGAAGAAAATTAAAAATGGTAAATACATGGTTTTATATTAAAATATATTGATGAGTGGAAGGAGGGTGATTGGTGGGGTCACCTCTATGGTTTATCTTACAAGGGGAGAAGTGAATCTTTCTAAAAGCAGAGTATGAATATCTTAATAACTAAGAAAATGACATGAAGGCTACATTAACCAGTTTGATGAGAGTATTTCAAATTGTATATGAAAACACCACACTGTACCCCATGATTGCATTAATGTACACAGCTATGATTTAATAAAAAAAATATATATGTATATGTATGTGTGTATGTATGTATTACACATTTCTGGAGATCTATTGAACATCATAGTAACTATAGTCAATGATATAATTAATATATAGCACTTGAAAATTGCTAGGAGAATAGAATAACTGATCACAAAAAAATTATGAGTAAGTGGAACAATGGATATGTAAATTCACTTGGTTTAACTTATGCATATATCAAAACATCAATTTTTACTCCACAAACATATGCATATATGTTATGCATGTATCAAAACATCAATTTTTACTCCACAAACATGTAATTTTCATTTTTCAATTATATCTCAATAAAACTGCATTTTTCTTAATTCCTTAAAAAATTCATACAATCCACCAAAGAAAAAATTGTAACATTTATTTTGGGATCTTTATGTATAGAGATGTAAGATACATTACAACTATAACATAAAGATGGCAGGAACAAAAGAAACATGTAAGATCTCAGGGTTTCTATGTTTTATGTGATTTAATACATTTTTCTTATCCTACTTCCCCCCAATTTAATACATTGTTAACCCTCTGTCTACTTTGAAAATTTAGAGATATATGTTGTAATCTTGAGAGCAATCCCTAAGAATGTAATGTAAAGAGGTATGCCAAAAATGCCAGTAGAATAATGTTATAATGTTCGCATTGTAACTTATAATTATTATAATTGAGACTTTGTGATGTGGGCTATGCTCATTGTGGTTAGGTGATATCTCAGGGTGGTTTTGATTGGCATTTCTCTGATGATTGGGGACAATGAGCATTTCTTTAAATGTTTATTAGGCATTTATCTTTCTTCTTCATAGAAAGTTCTGTTCATATCTCTTGCCCACAGGTAGATGGGGTTGTTTGCCCTTTTTCTGTTATTGTTTATTAATTTGAGTTCTCTGTAGATTCTAGTTATCAATCTCTTTTCAGATTCATACCATGCAAATATTTTTTCCCATTCTATTGTCTACTTTCTTTGATTGTTGTGTCCTCAGCTGTGGAGAAGTTTTCAGCTTAATTGAATCCCACTTGTCTATTTCATTTATTTTTATTTTTATTTATTTATTTTATTAAATTATAAATACACAGATCATGTATACATTAATACATTTATGGGGTACAATGTCCTGATTTCATATAGAATTAGGAACACTTACATCACACTGGTTAATATATACCTCATCTTGTTTACTTAATTGTTGTGTTAAGACATTTATATACTATACTAATAGATCCAACATGTACCCTTGCATTACCACTTGTTTATTTTTATTGTTGCTGAATTGCTGCTGAAGTATTCATCATAAATTCTTTCCCCAGTCATACATCATCAAGAGTTTTTTGCACACTTTCTCCTGAGATTTTTTATATTTCATGGCTGAGATTTATATCTTTTATCCATCCGGAGTCAATTTATG